CATGGTTTGACTCATGATGAAGCTCTGCACAAATTCAAAGTAAGGCAACTCCGTTTTGATACCAACAACAGTTTTCCTCTCAGCGAAGGGGTTTTTCTGTGATCAAAACAAATCATATAATCATAAATGTGACTTATTCAACTAAAACAGGAAGTTATTTAAAACTGTAAAGAAACAGTTTATAGGTGGTGGCATCCAGTGGTGAAGTTGCAGATTACAGCCAACAGAGCAAACCTCCATCACCTTCTCTTTCATGTAGGAGAAACTATAACGGCTGCTGCTTCAGCGTTACAAAGCCCTGTCAACAACCAGCGTTTTAATTTGTCCATTCAGGGCTACTGTAGAAAGATGGTGGTGCAAAATGGCAGCTTCTGTTGAAGAGGACCTGCTTTCTAAAGAGATATAAAAGGATTAAAGAAAACACAACCGTATATTATACATCAATGAAGACGTAATTATCAAGATTTTATTCCATTTCTACTCATATTCCCTAACACAGTTGTTCCTTTAGTTCTTTTTCAATAACTTGTTTTGCCTGTGGTATTTTGTGGCTGTAAATGCAACTGCAGATTTTTCCTACTCCTTTCTCAAGGTAATTACCAAAAGTAATCATTGTTACATTCACACATGCAGGCAACCCACATATGCACTAGTCAACAACAGAAAGTCTACACTCAAAGACAGTGACCGTGTCTATAATACAAGAAATTACACATAAAAATAGGTTTTGTGAGAAACATAATGCTGATAGGGCAGTGTTTTCATGTAACAGATCCTGCAAACTGCAAAAATGTTACATGTTGAACATATGAGTACAATGGTCACTGTTACTTTATTCTATTCTGTTTTTTCTTTATGTTTGTTTGTTTGTTGTTTAAATATTGGACCTTGAAATGCTATTTCTGGTTGTGCATGGCCCCCATCTTGTTGAGAGACAGTGAGTTCACATCTAGTTTAAAGGTTTTAATATTTCAGTGCAGCTTGTACTGATATGGTTTGTGTTTTTAAATAAATATGTACTTGTTTAAGTCACTTTGAACTGGTTAGTATATAAAATACAAAACACAAATTGATTTGCAACAAATCACTAAGTCTAGTAAACAACAGACAAAATCGATTGTGCAGCTACACAAATTTGAAATCTGAAATGTCTTTTGACACGTCTCTGTGCAGCAAATCAAAAAGGGCCTCCTGACTCTGGTGGTGAGGACCAGCCTGCGCGTTGGGGCTCTGTGTGGTCAAGCACAGGTAGCTCAGCTGTGCAGGTCACGCTCCCTCAGCACCACCACAGGCATGGCCAGGGTCAGTGCTGACATGGGAGACTACAACTACCTGAACATCTGCATCCCGGGTCAGCCCGCTAAACCCAGAGACCGCGTCATGATGGAGATCGTCCTGCAAAAAGGTCAGCCTCAAGGGCCAGTATAGGCACTACTGTTTGATTTTAACAGCTGACTAATTGTCTTGTTCTCTGAATTTATTTGAAGCTGTGCCATCTTAACAGGACTCTGCTTTTTACCACCTATTAAAAACAAAACAAAACATAAAAAAACCTAACAAGAAATTTCAGCTGGTCACTTTAATGTTGCACACCAACACATTGAGGTACAAACAACGTGACTGATACCCTCCCTGCCTCATAAATACCCACAGTTTTCTCATGCCACACTCCCAGTGTGTAAGCAAAGCTTTGAAACTGTGTAGATTCCAAGCCAAGATGAATCAGTTTTCACCAAGACTGCCGAACTTTTCACAGCAGATAAATTGACATTTACAGTGTGCAGACTGTACACTGTGTAATATCACTTAGTTGTCAAATGATTCAAAATTTTACCACTTCACAGTAATCGTGTACTTTGGACTGTTTGATATTTACTCTCATGCAAAATTAAAAAACTAACAGTTTAGTTTGACTCCATTAAAGCCTGCACAGTATGAACTCAGTGTAACAAAAGAGATTCAAATGTTTCATTCTCAGTACTTGGTTCATCCAACTTTAATTTTGATGACAGACTCAATTCTCCTTGACATGAAGGATGATACTAGTGTAGCACTAATTTCTGGACAGATGTGTCCTTCTTTTTTTTCAGCTGCTATTTGTTGGTGGGGTTGTGTTGCTCTACTTTCATCCATCCATTATCTATACACCGCTTAATCCTGACTAGAGTCGTGGGGTGTTGCTCTACTTTTGTCTTTCAAATATCATCAAGATGTTTTTTTTTTAATTTATTTTTTTTATTTTTTTATTTTTATGCTGTCTATATGCATATATACAACTTAGATTTGTTTAAAAAAAAACTCAAAGGCAGAAAATCTGTTTGGGCCTGTACTGTATCCTCAGTGTCAGAAAACCTTAAACAGCCTTGGACCCAGATTTCCCCTTGAAAGTGAAAACAGTAAAACTGTTTAATCTCACAGTTTTATGCTGTAAAACAAAGCAAGGGTCTTTTTTCGTGGGTACCGTCCATCAAGGTAAGTGTTACGCAATGTCTTTTAAACTGATTTCTATTAATATCACCTTAGGAGGAGATCACTGCAGCTCTGATTAATGGTATGGCTCATTCTATACCTTCTAAATACTGCTGCAACTGTTAATAGAGAGATTTTTAGTGGATCACCAATCATTCTGCATCCTCTACACTTGTCAACTTAGAAATAATGCCATTATTTAGAGGCCATGCAATTTTGAATAATTGCACATCTGACTGGTATTTTACTCACTTCTGTTGTGTACTGTATATGTAAAATTGATTTACTACCATGATAAATATATACATGCATGTGTAACATCCCAGAGGCGGGTGTTGGTCTGGGTATTGGACTGTGCTGCGTTCCATCTGGTGACGGATGCCCTCGGATCTACATTCACACCCTCTCTCCTGGATCGGGAGCACACATGGATGGTAGACTCCGGTAAGGACAAATTACTGTTGGGTTGTACACAAAAAAACCTACCGCTGTAATAAAATGTAGCTCCAGTAGGAATAATAAATCTAGATACTCCATATACACAAAAGTAAGATGCTGTAATATCATACTACAATATGATGGGAGATTAAAAGTCCAGTATTCCAGTGACACAACTTTTGTGATCCTTGGTCCATAGGTTAACGGTGTATAAACTCTCCTCCTCTTCTTGAAATTACACTCAAGTTGAGATAAAAAATGTAATGCTTATGCTCAGAGGCAATGCTTGTTCAACAAATAGGGCTCTACATTTTTGAACTGCCTTGGATTTGCTGGGAGGTGGTTCCTGAGTGTACTTAGGTTTAAGCAGCAAAATAAAGGCTGCATAAAGATCATAGCTTTAGTTTCTTTGTCTCAAGTCACTGTACTTTTTCTACATCATACAGACCAGTCTTTCCCTAATCTTAACAAAGTGATACAGCAAAACAAACACGAATGTTTAATATTTATGTAGTCACCTGAAATAGATGTTTTACTGCAAAACGCAACATACCGGCAGAAAACTAATCCAATGTCAGGAAACATTTCACCCATTCAACATTTTTGCTACTTTTGTATTTGCTGTTAAAAAACTGTGAAGAGATGTGTTTTCTAGGGCCCAGGTTTACCTGCACAAACTCATGTTTCTCTTTTTAGTGCTCTTTCATCTTTCTTTCTTTCACTCCTCCATCTGAACTTTTGCACACTCCTTCCTGTCTTTAGGTGTGGGGATGAGATTATGGAAATCAATGACACTGTGGTTTACAACATGGCCCTGAATGACGTCTACGCAGTTCTGAGCCAGTGCACAGCAGGTCCCGTCCACATCATCATCAGTCGACACCCCGACCCCAAAGTATGCAATGTCCCATCTTCATTTACTTTAACCATTAGTAACTACTGCTAACAGTAGACTCACATTTACAGGTCAAAGTACGATTGTTTCTTTATTATGCAACCAGACAGAATAGATTTGCAAACAAAACATAGATTTAAGAACAAAAGAAAAAATACACAAAGAAAATATTGTATTATATACATATATCCCAATGTGTATGTATGTATGTAGCAGCTCCAACACTATTTATAAATACAGTTACATACAGTCATGAACAAAAATTAAATCCACTTGTAAAGACCGTGTATATCATGGCAGTCTTGAGTTTTCCATGACTCCTAGAACTCAGAATTTTATATGATGGAATCATTAAAACACACGTCTTTGTCACAAAAATAAATAATAATAATCAAGCGTTTTGGTTCTTTTATAAATGTATTACAGGCCTTCTTGATCTTCCAGGTCAAAAACAATACATACAGCAACTTGAAATATCAGTTTGGTGATATAAAAAAGTTGTGTTAATGTAATGTTCTTAGTGACATGACATTTTTAGCTGAGTATCAACACTTGATTTGACAACTAGGCTGAGTTTACACTTTACTGTTAACATTTACATCTTCTGCTCTTTGTCACAGGTATCAGAGCAGCAGCTGAATGATGCTATCGCTGATGCAGTGGAAAACAGCAAACTGAGAAAAAATAAGAGCCAGTGGAGCATTGATGGTAACATATTTATTTGTTCTTTTTAATCCCATATTAATGAGGGTCAAGGTTGAACTGGAACATCCGGCACTATTTCCATGGAACTTCTTCTACTCATGTTGTTTTCCATGCTTCATAGTATTCTTCTGGGCAGTTTTTACCAAATTTATCGGTTAAAAAAAAACAAAAAAAAAGCTTTGTGTGCCAATCGTTTAGCCATATGTGCTATATTTTATCCATTCATTAACCTCTGACTGCTGTCAAATACTTCAACCAAATGCATTTTAAAAAAAAATCTACTCTAGGTATTGCAATCTAAAACCAAAATCTCAATTTTGTTTTGCCAAATGTTTTCTATAACCAAACATTAAGCACCAGTATCATGGTGTATATCATCATTTAACTAGCAAATCTACACCAGTTTAATATTCATGACAGAGTCATCGATACAAAGCACCGGTACCCTGGATGTGTTGTCTTTTTACTGATAATTTGCATTTTGGCTCACCTTTAAGGTTAATATCAACATGTGACGGGGTTGGTCAAAACTAGTAATAGCAAATAAAAGGTGTCATTTCAACCAGTTTTTGATACCAGGATCATCTTCTTGCTATTAATCCTTCAATGTCAAAGGCATTTTTTAATAGTGTTCACATTTTTTAACAGCGAGGGCAAGTCATGTTGATCAAACCAGTTTGCAGTATTCAGTGCTTACTCAAGACTCTTTTAAATTCTCCTCTGATAGTGTTCAGGTCTTGTTTTGTCATAGAACAATTTTTCACAATGGTGATGATGAGTCATTTTGGTATCCAACATCTGTGCAGGAATTATCATTGTTTAAATTCCTTTAATAATTAGAATCCCATAGTTAACATTTTGTTACTGACAAGATGTGCCTTTATTAGAGTATTATTTTAATAAGACAGCACAGCTGTTTTCCCAGACTGAGTAATGCTCTGAGGAATAAACTCATTTTCATGTGTAAAACTTGATTTTTGCTTTGAAAATATTTACATAGACATCAGTTGCTTTATTCAGTGACTGCAAACAGTGCAGATTCCATTCCTATTTTAAAATGTCGCAGGACTACGTAGACTGGAGTCTTGCTCTCACAGCCGGCTGAGATGTGAACATTGTTTGGAGAGGAACTGCAGTCAGCTTACAGTTCGACAAGCACAGAAGACGATGGTCCGATCCTGCAGTGACAACACCAACAGCCACCACAACAGCTGCCTCACTATCCACAACCACCACAACACACAGCATCACCCATCAGCACGGGTCCACAGCCTGGACACACCCAAGGTGACCCAACATGCTGCCTGTTTGATGCAGAGTGTTTTAAACATAAGGAGAGTTTGTAGAATAAGTATTTAGAGAGTTAGAACTAACTGCTTGTGCTGTATTTGCTTATTTTCATGTTTTATGTTTTCTGTGTATTGATTATTAGCGTCAGAATGTTGATGTGTGATTTGTAAAAATCTCTGTGGTTTCAAGTTTAACCCTTTCATGTCTCTTCCTGTGCTGTAGTCTATGACAGACACATGGTCTGACAACAGACTGTCAGTGCCTGTGTATCCCGATGAGGATTATAACGTCCCATACAACTCTCCTGCTGCCAACCTGTCCAGTCAGCTGGTCCTGAATCTGGCTCACAGGAGCAACAAGGTAGTTTCTTCAAACGGATGGTTTTAACTTAACTTTATGTCAAATGATGAACTTGATGAACATGTTTTGCTATAACAAGGTTGGTGCTAAGTGGCAGCAGCAATAATTATCCAGGTCTCTGTCTACAGATCCTCTGTGTACTTACAAAAGCTGACTTCACTGCAGACTGCAAGAGTTCAGAGTGAGGGGAGCAATTTGTGTACGGAGGCACTGAATAAGTTCAGGAATCTCTTTATAATAGGCACAGTGTGGTCATAGACGAGATAAAGACAGTTCAAGCTTCTACTATATTTATGACACACAAGTCAATACAACGTCAACAAAAACACAAAAAACAATAAATCTTTTATTCTTAATTATAACCCTGAAGCTTTCAAAGGTCCTGTGACTCACAGAACATTGAACATGAAGATACTGATGTGATGCAGACTCTTTGCCTTTGCCCTGGCATTGCACGCAGTGAACTGTTAGACTGTTCACATGATGCTGGAATCAGTGCCTCTGGCTGTAACTAATTACATCACGTTTATAGTCGCATCAGCATTAGATTAGCATACAGGTCGACTTAAAGTCATCCTGCTTCATGCTTTTAAAACCTTCAGTACAGCTGTGCATATGTGTGTGTGTGTGTGTGTGTGTGTGTGTGTAGTCTACCTGCAGAGCGCATGCTGGTGCTCGCCGCCACTGTTGGCCTCAGGATGTGACCAGTGAGGAGGGCTATAATGGTGACTCCAGCGGCTCCAGCAGGGGATCCCCAGTTAGAGACAAAGGAATAGAGGCCCCATCACACACCAGCTGCCAGGTACACCATTCTATAATTAAAGCAGACGAAAAACAGTTTCAAATTTGCTGACTTAGAGCAATTTTGGTGTGTATATTACCATTCCCTGCACCAATTTTATTTTATATTTTTACACTTCCCTATTGTCTCACACAGTAGATATCAGAAATTTACAATTGGCATTACTACTATCTTTTACTGTCATTTCCTGTTGACTAGTCAGACTTTGAAGGTATGTTTTATATGCATTATTTTCATTCATATTTGCTAACTAGCAACTAGTGCCTTTTGCTGGTGCATTGTTACATTTCTTAGTGTCTTTTCTGCCACCTGTTGATGAGGAAAATGTTTTTTACTTGTCATTCTATCTCAAATCCTCAAGAAGCTCCTGCTCAACCATCTCTGATTTGCTTGAAACTTATCATAAACTATGAATGTTTCAAATGGTAAAATTCTAGCTTGATATATCAAATATTTTACTGAATATTATTTTTCAGAAAGCCTTTCCTGTTTTTGAGCATAGCTAATAGCATAGCACAAAAAACAGAGCATAACTATTTATTCATGCCAAAGCATAAAACAAAAAGAAGCTGATAAGAAAGATGTGCCATCACCCAACTCACGTACTCACGTACTCCATGACAAAATTATACTTCTTGTTTATCCCCAAGTGCATATACTATTATATTAGTCACCCATAAATAAAAACAAGTGGAGTAACCAAACTCAGAGGTTTCAGCTTTGTTTGCTTTACACCAATAATATACTTAAATTTAGAATG